ATTCAGGACGACATTCTCGGTCTGGTATTACGATTCAGACTCCATAACTACATCTTCACTGGCGACATCGAGAAGATGTATCGTCAGGTGCTCATCCGACCTGAAGACACAAAGTATCAACGCATACTCTGGCGAGAAAACAACGAGATCATGACTTATGAGCTGCAAACTGTCACATTCGGCCGCTCCTCTGCTCCGTACCTCGCAGTAAGATGTCTACATCAACTAGCTGATGACGAACAGGAACGGTATCCAACTGCTTCAACACTCCTGAAAAGAGATCTCTATGTTGATGATCTCCTCACTGGCACCTCTACTCTCGAAGAAGCCCTACTTCTCAGGGATGAAATGATCAGTCTTCTGAAAGCAGGTGGTTTCAACTTACGTCAATGTGCCTCCAACTCTCCACAAGTACTTCAAGGCCTACCAGAATCTACTGTCAATCTCCAGCTGTTAGGAGGAGATGATTCCACTCTCAAAACTTTTGGAATCCATTGGGATTCACAGAATGACAGTATTGTGTATACTGTTAATCCAATCGCCACAACTGACATCATCACCATGAGAACCATAGCATCAGACGTAGCTCGCATCTTTGATCCCCTCGGACTCCTGAATCCAGTAGTGACTCACGCTAAAATCATCCAGCAAGAATTATGGAGGCTCAAATTAAACTGGGATGACTCCACACCAGCAGAAATTCACACCAGATGGAATGAATTTGCCTCACAGCTTCCTCTTCTCAATGAAATGCAGTTCAAACGTCAAGTCACAACAAACCTTCAACAACTAGAAGTGCACGGTTTCTGTGATGCTAGCCAGAATGCCTACGGAGCCTGCATCTACCTCAGATCAGTCGAAGACAACGGGAAAGTCCAAGTCAATCTTTACTGCGCCAAATCTCGGATCACACCTCTTAAAGGCACACACACAATACCTCGCCTAGAACTCTGTGCTATGGAACTGCTCTCCAACCTCTATGAAATTGTTAAAAAGGCAACAAACATCACACCTGAACGAGAAATCTTCTGGTCTGATTCCACCGTAGCTCTCCATTGGATCAAGACCTCTCCTCATCTTCTTCAACGATTCGTAGCCAACAGGGTGGCTCGAATCCAAGAAATCCCCAAGCATGTCGACTGGACATGTGTGAACGCATGATAACCCAGCAGATGCTATATCTCGAGGTCAACTCTCTTCTGACTTCCTCAAGAACGAACTTTGGCTCCTTGGACCCAAATGGCTTCAACTACCTGAAAAACATCCTTATCTCCACATCGACAAACCCTCAGAACTGCCTGAACTCAAGAAGGCTACTTGTCTCCATATCGCTGAACCTCCTCACAATGCCTTTCTCCATCGTTATTCATCATTCGAAAGGCTCAAACGTATCGCAGCAAGGTGTCTAAGGTGGCGCCGAAGACTCCCCCACAAGAACCTCACTCTTCAAGAACTTCAAGTAGCAGAAAACAGAATTCTCCAATTAGTTCAACATCACAGCTTCGCCACAGAATATTCCTTTCTACAACAAGGGAAACCTCTTCCTCCCAAGAATAGACTCAACAACCTCAGCCTGAAGCTTGATGAGGATGGACTCATTCGAGTTGGCGGACGGTTGAGAAAGGCTCGCAATTTTCCTCTGGATGGTAGACATCCTATCTTATTGCCCAAAGGTCATCACGTCACCCATCTCCTCATCAAGAAGACTCACTTGACCAATCTACACACTGGCATTCAAACCACTCTTCATCTTCTCAGGCAACGCTACTGGCCTATTGATGGACTTAGTCAAGTGAGATTCATTATCCATAAATGCATCAGCTGTGCCAGGGTGAATCCACCTCCTGTGAACTATCCAATGGCTGATCTTCCAAGTACACGTATCACGCAGGCCAAACCCTTCACAAACACTGGAATAGACTACTGTGGTCCATTTCTCATCAAGGAAAGGAGACATCGCAATCTCAAGAAAATCAAAATCTGGATTTGCATATTTGTATGCTTCACCACTAAGGCAGTACACATCGAGCTGGTCAATGATTTGACCAGTGAAGAATTTTTGGCCACTCTCAGTCGATTCATCTCCAGACATCCCTCCTGCAAAACTCTTCATTCAGACAACGCCACAACCTTCGTCGGTGCCAATAGAGAGTTACAAGAACTCTACGCCCTTCTCAACACTGAAAGGCACGATGAATTCATCAACCGTCATCTTGCTGAACAGGGAATTGAGTGGAAGTTTATTCCCCCTGTATCTCCTCACTGCGGTGGCATCTGGGAAGCTGCCGTAAAATCGTGCAAACAACATATGAAGAAAGTCATCGGAAATGAGTTGTTGACTTATCAACAACTTAATACTCTTTGTGTGAAAATTGAAGGAATCCTCAATTCACGACCTCTTACTCCATTATCATCTGACCCCAACGACTTCACCGCACTCACTCCTGCCCACTTCCTACATGGAGACATTAGCACAGATCTCCCTGCACCCGATTGGACAGAAACACCCAGCAATCGGCTCTCTTACTGGCAGCATCTCGAAAAAATCAAGCAACATTTTTGGAACCGATGGCACAAAGAATACCTCTCTGAGCTCAACATTCGCCACAAATGGACTTCCGGACATCACCACATCAACATAGGAGC